CATTTCAAAGCAGGTGCTAATGACAAAATAATATGGTCAGTTAAAGTCTGCCTTGACCATGCCCTAAAATGGGACTTTTTGTGAGGCCAACAGTTACATGGCCGAAACTTACCGGAAACAATGATCAATGCTTGGAAAATATAATTTTTAAAAATCTAACCAAACATTTGGGGACTTTCCTCTTATCATATCGCTCTAAAGTCTTTCCGATCTCGCACTAAAAATGGGAATTTTTCAGGCCATCGAAACATAAATATGGATCAGTGCATGGAAAATGTGATTTTCGAAAATCTAACCACACATGCTGGGGCTTTGCTCGAGTCAGAGTGACCTTTATAACTTAGCCCGAACCTTCCCCCTCCACATAAAGCTAATAATAATGCAATATAAATAATACATTTTTAACTGCAGCAGGATTCAAATTACAAAAACAGTAGCTATGTGGAATCCTCAAATAAGAAATGGTTTCCGGTGTTGTAAAAAGAGTAAGCATACCATTTCCAATTCACGGTACACTGCACTAATTATAGCTAAACGAATAGATAGTTGGGACTAGGATTGAATTCATGTCTTTAAATGTGCTGTTTTCCCTTTCTGGTACACCACAACCCCCATTCAACAATTACTCAGCATGTTATTCAATATCTTACAACATAGTGAAAAACACAAACAAATATTTCAAATTGTTTTATTGGAATGCTATAATATGGAGCTTTGCTTTCAATGAGTTTTACGTTTCTGAAACTTTGATAATGAATAACCACCTAATGGATTCTAAAAAAAATGTTAGTGACAGATAAATTATTGTATCTATGGACATTTTGGACTGAAGAGAACTAGGAAGTCTTTTTCAAGAATGTGTGTAGATTTGACTTTGGAACAAACTATTAACGCAGGTGCTGCTAGCCAAAGAATAGGAATCAGTCCATACAATAGTTCACTTTTAGCTCGACAAGAATGGGCAGTCATTCAATGTGCGTAAATATTCTTTCCAATTTATTTACCAAACTTGGTTTAGATACAAAAGTTGGTATTTTGAGGGATTTAAAACACCAAATGCAAAGAAATGCACGATTTAGAAACCATAATCCTAACCAATGGACAGCTTGAAACAAATCATTGATTTTCAACATTGTATGTGCAGCAACGATAGCCGCTATTGTAAGGATGGAATTTCTATTAAATGGAAAATATTCAAAAAAGGCCGATTCAACCATTCTCCTCGAACGGCGAACGCCAAAAATAGGGATAATGCAACTTGATGATCGGGAGTTCCTTTATTTCCCGCGTATTCACAACAAAACAAATAAATGCTATGCTAATAATACGAGAAGGCGGCTATTGTAAATACCGGTTAAAAACATGTCATTTAATATTCGCTTATTGGTGTACTTTTTTATACGTCCACATTCATAATTTTGGGCGTATATTGCGCTGATGAAATAAAATAATAATAATGGTTATTTACAGTTTTTCGGCCAAAAATAGATTTCAAGATAACTTGGTCTGTCTCTGGGGTGTTCTCGTAACTTAAATATGTATTGGCAGATCCGTCTGAATTGTTGAATAATTTGTAATATGAAAATTGCCGATCAGTGGCGATAGCTAAAGTGTCTTTAAATAAATGCATTCAAGAATAATCCCTCCAAGCCATTCAGAGAAAAAGTAGATGCGTTTTAAATATTGATGGAATGTTTAAATTAATGTTGTTTGATGGTGATGTAGCCCCAGTATCAGTTGACGATATATGCGGATGAAGAGGGTAACTAAGAAAGCGAGGACTCCAATGACGAATAAAGCAATTTCTATAGACATCGACAGGTTTTTCTAAGAATTTTAAAGGCCAAACTTCCCTTTCCAACTAAAGTATGCAGTATAATCACAGCCAGTGAGTGTGGGTGTGTGTGTGTGTAAGTTGTATTTTACGTCCGCTTCCACCGAGGTGATATCGCACACAAAGCCAGTGAGTGCATGGTTTGCTCCTGAAGACTCTGATAACTTAACTCCAGGATTCTTGTGTAAACTCATTCACATTCGAAATGTGTGTTGCTATAAACAGCCAAACAGCTCTAAATCCCGAAAAAATATCATCGTTTGTATCTAAACCAAGTTCGTTAAACACGCTGGAAAGACACGTATTGAATGACTATTTATCCATCTTTGTATGCCTCCCTGGTCCCTTTGACATGGACATTATATATTTTTGTATATTTTCACGGATTTGAGATCGAATGATTGAAAAAACAACCACATTATTGAAAAACCAGCGGCTGCCAGGCAGGATACGCCCACATTTTCGAGAGATGGATAGAGAACAAGCTAAAAAGAAAGTGATTTTTCCTACAATCAAGGGCCATAATTACAATTCGATATGCGCAAATATCGAAAGGAGTCGTGATCTTTGTGTTATAAACTTACATTTCAAGTTTCAACAAAATCGGATTAAAATTGTGACCTCGATAGGGTCCACAGCCTTGATATACCATATTTTTACGCTATTTGAGAACGAAGGGCGGCCATTTTGTCTGTCAGTTTTGTGCCGATTTTCACGAAATTCGAACTCAGCCTTCCTTAGGGTGTAACGGTGATATAATAATACGCCTTTTTTTTTAAATCGGATAAAAATTATGACCTCTATAGGGTCCACAAGCTAAAAACACGATTTTTCGTACAATCAGGGGCCGTAATTCAGGCAGTTACGGTCCGATATGCGCGAATATCGAAAGGAACCGAGATCTTTGGGTTATAAACTTACATTTCAAGTTTCAACAAAATCGGATAAAAATTGTGACCTCTATAGGGTCCACAAGCTAAAAACGTGATTTTTCGTACAATCAGGGGCCATAATCCATGAAGTTTCTATCCAATATCGAAAGCAGCCGAGATCTTTTGGGGATAAACCTATATTTCAAGTTTCGTCAAAACCGGATAAAAATTGTGACCTGTAGAGAGTCCACAAACAATTATGGACGTCCGGACGGACAGGGGCGACGGCATAATACGTCCACATGAAAATGTGGGCGTATAAAAACTCCATTAAGCCTTTGCCTTGAAACAATAAACTTACCTCATATGATGGAGATCAGATATAAAAATACGGCACAGGTAATCGTTAATTTTAACATTTTCGATCCTGTAAATATGGCAGTAGATACACTCACTCCAAACGGGATATTAATATTGTATTTATGACTAATATGCGGTTTGTCATTAACTATACATAAGCAGTACAGTACACGCGTGTGCAAACGGTATTTTATTTTACTGATTATGGTTTATATCCGGGTTGTCTATATTAAAACGTTAACAATAAAGTGCACTTGTGACATAACAATCATTTTATAATTTTCAGATAAAAACAGTGTTTTCTATTACTTGTGAATTTCTTGGTGTTGAAGTATATGTGTGTAACGGTTTACTAAATATAGCAGATGAACGTTAAAGGGTCTAAATCCATGACATTAGAAATTAAAAAATTCGTGGTTTCGGTAATTACGTTAATTATAACTTTAAAAACTGGTAGTGGTCAACCTGTCCAAACAAAGTGACGGTAAAATTTGATAAAATAAGCATCCAATATTTCGGGAAATATATCAGCAAGTTTATACTTGACGTCATGAATGACTGCAATGCATTGAATGCTATAGAGTAAAGTTCGTTGTATTGCAGATTGTCAATTTATTACTTTAAGAAATGTGTGTTTAACCATTCCAGTGCTTGTCAGTAATGTACAAACATGCAGAGGCCTACAGACCTACAGAGAACAAAAGAAAAATGGAAATGGTTGAATGATAACCCTAGAATCAGGAAAGTTGACCTACCATGGTAACAGGGGCGGGCCTCCCTTCCGAAAAGGTGCCCTCATTTTTGAAAAAGGTTTCTCGAATTTCGAAAGTGTTACTTCAAACGCGCAGGGAAATGCCAGCTTCAATGTTTCTAATGCAAACAGTGTGCCCTGTTGTTGGTTTGATGCTTGGGATCTTTTATAATTATAGTTCCGCATTTAGTCTCGAATTAAAAATGACAGGGGTGGGCGGGTAGCTCTGGGCCACGGACCAACTGGTTTCGTTTGGCCCCATCATGGTGAGAATAGGGGACATGTCGAGAAAACAAAACTAGTTTGATTCACTAGTCCTGCATCTCCACCATGGATCATTCTGCATCTCCTCGGAATATTGTTGTATTAATTAAGTTCCCATTAAGACGCCTGTGAATAGGTTTTTATCTCAAGAAACTGCACATTGTATACAAATCTATTAATTTCTGAAGCTGTTTTTCTTTCATGTTTATCCGACAACTTTGCAATGAAAACTCTTCATTCTTCGAACGGCGCCATTTTGATAATTTCTTTCTAAACGCGGCAAGTTTTCCTTCTAAGTAAATCGGTAGCCGTGTCACAGTTGTATGGATGTAGCTACATATCACTTACCGGCATACCGCATAGGTAAGATGTAGGGTACCAGAGTTTGCCAAGGTTTGCCGAATGGTATGGAAACAAGACAATTTCAAGAAAAAATCCCGATTGATTTTGTATTAATTAGGTATGTATTGGTTGTTGATCGGAATGTTGAAACAAGCATAATTTGGGACAGAAATTTGCGGCGAGTACAGCAGTGCTTGAGGGGTATGAGCTCTAATCAAACGAAACACAAATTCGTCATTTCGAAGATTTTCAACAAAGGGCCGGTATTAACTGATCATATTCTAAAAGAACTAGAACGCTGATTGATTTTCAAACACAGGACGAAATGACAATATTTTGAGAGTGTTTAAAATCCGTTAAATTAATCAGTACGCTATACTACAACACACACCTACAACATCACAAGAGTGTCTGGACATTTATTAAACACATTAGCCAATGCAATTGATTTGTTTACGAATTTGAAACAAAAATGTAAGGATGAGATAATAATATTGCTACATTCAGTGACATAGCGTATGATATAAAGTTACCCGTGACCTAATCGGTCGAGCGTTGAATTCGATCCACACCTTAACTCATTTTAATTCGCCCACAGTTTTTTGTTGGCTGACTTACACACATCTATTTTACAAAATGTTGTCTAGAAGAGACCAGTTTGTTTTATCAATGGGCGTATTGGTATCCATCACACTCTGCATGGTTACATTATATGATACTCCAACTTTGGTAAGATTTGTATTTAATTAAGATTTTTAAAAATCTTTAAATGTCATTAACACGGTTCTATGGATAACAATCACTATATTATATACACACGATGTTTCGACTAGATTTCACTGGTTGTTATCAAGCATTTCTTCCCAATTTGTAAGCCTGATAATACGTCGTGTTTATATATCGATTGTTGTCCAGAGAATTGTAATAAGAGTCTATCAAAAGTTGATCCTCACCATCACCATCATTGATAATGGTGTACATGTATGTGGTAGCTGTAGACGAAATGGTTGATATACTGAACACACGTGCATTTTCTATGGATTAAATTGGATTAATAAATATGGATGTAGCAGAACAAGACTAATTAAAGTTAAGTACATGTAAAACAATTAAACATTTGATGTTTAGAGTACATGTTTTATATTCAATCTATTTATTAAATGGCCGTTCTGAATGAACTTACTCCAGAAACTAGTCACTCGCTCGCATCCGATCAAGCTACCTCCCTTTTCATTTTCAGAAAATTGTTTTTCTTTCATTACGTAAAGACAGCTTCTCATACCTGTAAAGTGTTGTATAAATGATCGCATTGGTGCACAAAAAACAGATTGACGAACGCATATCCTAATGTAGAATTAGCTCTCAAAATACTTCAGTAGAAGGAAAACGTGGTAGGATTTGAAATTGCTTTAAATTCTGAATTCAGATATTAGCTAAAGATGACATGGTTGGTGTCTGAACGGGCTATATTATATTTCTCTTATATTATTAAGAAACAAGAACTTAAAGGAGACAAGTCCTAAGTCTTCTACATATTATATTAGTCTTATATTATATTTCTTCGACTGCTAACGAACTCATTTCGCAAGCGAAATATTGAAATAAAATTTAACCGTGTTAGTCCCGAATCTACAAAACATCCTATAACCACTGTATCAAAGATAAAATCAGAACCAAATCTTTAATTTATAATAATTTATAATTCATAGATACAATGTCTTCTACCATCAATTATTGAAGAGGTCCCTGCCACCCCCTCTCCTCTGATAGACAACACACCTGGAAAAGGCAATTGGAAAATCGGCCATAAGTTCTAGATGTAATGGGGTTTATCTGAAAACCATCGTCGTTAAGTTTTCGTTTGATCGTCCAGTTTAGGCTGCCCACTATTAACTGGCTTCCTGTCTAAAATTGTTCCAAATTTGTCAAACATATTTACAATTCTTCTTCTCTGTTCCTTGACAGTTAAATCGTATTAGTATAAATCTGGGAAGATATTGGATTTACCAATGTTGGAGATTTAACAGTTTTAATATATTTCAATATAATCTGTATGTCATTCATTACATTTCACGTCGACTGGTCAAATTTGGGTGTGTGTTTGTGTGTGTTTCAGGTGTGTGTGTTTTATTAAGCCAATGGCTGAATTTCATTGTTGATGACATACAAGCAAAATGTCACGAAGATTTCCTAGAATAAAGATTTGAGGGCCACTGTAAAGAGAGTCTAGTACTCAGATAATATTTATTCGCAAGGAGTCGCCCAGGAAATTGAGAGGACTGTTAAACTCATTCGACTCCACTTTTCGACCAATGAGAATTCAAGAAATTCCATTTTGGGCTACGATACCCTATACAACGTTATGGTATACTTTATAGTAAATATACGAAGTATACTTTAATGCTCTAACCAACGTTATGGTATACTTTATAATAAGTATGTACTTTAATACCCTTACCAACGTTATGATATACTTTATAATAAGTATACACTCTATACAGCGTTATAATACTTTAATACCCTATACAACGTTATGGTACTTAACAATGAGTATACTAAGTTTAATATCCTATACAACATTATAATACTTTATAATAATTATGTTATAATACTTTAATACCCTATACAACGTTATAATATTTTAAAATAAGTATACTAAGCTTGTTATGATACTTTAATATCCTATACGACGTTATATTCTAATTATTTCTATATGCTTCCATGTTATGATACTTTATAATAAGTATACTAAGTTTGTTATAATACTTTATTATCCTATAAAACGTTAAAATATTTTATAATGAGCATGATACTTTATTACCCTATACAACGTTATGATATTTTATAATAAGTATACCTATACATCTTTATAATACTTTATAATAAGTATACTAAGATTGTTGTAATACTTTAATAACCTATACATTTGTATTCTAATTATTTCTATATGCTTCCATTTATTTGTACGTATAAATTTCTATTTGGTGGGTTTATCCCTGTTTAAAAAGGTTACACAAATTGATTCGTTGAAATCGGTATATCTTCTTTTTTTTCAGAATCCAATCCGACAATATGTGCCAGAAGGTTGGTAAAAAATAATCCGTGAATTATATGAATTAGTGTCGTGGATAAAAATAATTTGAAAATGGAACAAAATCTAAATTTTAAACAAATAACGAAGAAAGTAGATTTTAGTAAAATATTTTTATGTAAGGCCACGCCAATTTGATTTCTGGTCTTTCTGGTCTACAGGAAAAATTTCACAACCCAAAATACTTGGTTTTGATGTTCAAAAGTTTTTAGTTCCAAAAATTTAAGTTTTTAAATTCTAAACAAAACATCTTTCACGGGACCTCGAAAAATAGAAAATTGAATTGTGTGACCTAAGGATATAGTCTTTCCAAAATGGGATGATAATTTGCCCTTTAACGGTCCAAATAACTGGAAATAGAGATAAATTTACACACACACACACATATATATATATATGGTGTGCGTTGTGTTCATTTTGGGGTCGATCCTGTGTACATAAACTACATTGCATCGTTGGTGTATACCTTTAGGTCGTATTTATGGGCGAGACCAAAATTGCAAGGCTTATATTACCACTAACAGAATCGGCAACATCAAGCGTCTATTGAACATGAAGACTACACCGGAAGTTGAAAACCATCTGCACCGACTTGGTTATCCAAATAGGAATACAACATCCGGTGACGTCTACATACCGGATCTACCAGACCCCAAGATCCCTATTCCACGAATTCCTGTAATTGTGGCTGGTGCCTCTAGTAATCATTTTACAGAGATGCAAGCCTTGATGCATAATATTGATACAGTTCTAAGACCAGTTTATCCGGATATTAAAGTTATTTTATATGATATCGGATTTACAGAATCACAAAGACAAGCAGTAAGTTAACAAAGCGTATACAGATTTAATGGCATAAACTAGTCTATCCCAACAATTTATCGTTCAAATATTTTACGCAATTTGGTTCACAAATTTGCCAGAAATGGCAACACCTTGATAATCTGACCATACCATTAGCTCACCACTTTCACATGATTCGCCAAGCCCCCTATAGAACTAACAGGAGAGATGAAGTTGTTTTGTGTCGTTCTAGCATCAAGCAATTTGGTTCACAAATTTGCTAGAAATGGCAACACCTTGGTAATCTGACCATACCATTAGTTTACCACTTTCACATGATTCACCAAGCCCCCTATAGAACTAACAGGAGAGATGAAGTTGTTTTGTGTCCTTCTCGCATCTATAGATCGAAATATTACCTTTGCCAGTCACTACGTCAGTTGTTTGCGCAACCGGGTCAATATTGCAAAGGGCTACATTTTTTAAACGAGACAAATTATTATTAAAATTTTGATAGTATATTATCTGATTTTCTATTTCATATTTTAAATGTATATACATAAAGTTTGTGATATGTATGTTTAGTTGATTTGACTGTGGTATCTATGTTTATTTATGTATATAAAGATGTGTATTGTGATTATTTGTTTCAAGTTTGTTTCATTTCACATGAGTTCGTTGGACTATGCTTTATTCTTATGTTTTGTTGAAATGTTATTTATTTTCATATAATTAATATATTATATTTACAGATAATTAAATACAGGAGATGTAAGTTGAGAAAGTTTGACTTTACGAAGTATCCCGATCACATAAAATACCTTCATTCTTGTGCCTGGAAACCCATCATCATACAGGTAATACATTCCGTTTAATTTTGTTTGACCTTTACCCGTATCATTGTCAGTTCCTTTGACCTTTATCCATAACATTGTCAGTTCATTTGACCTTTACCCGTAACAGGGTCAGTTCATTTGATCTTTATCCGTAACATTGTCAGTTCATTTGATCTTTACCCGTAATATTGTCACTTCATTTGACCATTACCCGTAACATTGTCAGTTCATTTGACCTTTATCCGTAAAATGGTCAGTTCATTTGACCTTTACCGGTAACAGGGTCAGTTCATTTGACCTTTTATCCCTGACATTGTCAGTTCATTTGATCCCTACCCGTAATATTGTCACTTCATTTGGCCTTTACCCGTAACATTGTCACCTTATTTGACCTTCACCGCTAGCAATGTCACTTCATTTGACCTTTCTGCAGCTGGGCTTGTAATGATAAACAGTAATGCATCTTAAAGCTGTTTTATAATAATTATTATTATATATTTTATAAACACTAGACGCTTGATGTTGCCGATTCTGTTAGTGGTAATATAAGCCTTGCAATTTTGGTCTCGCCCATAAATACGACCTAAAGATATACACCAACGATGCAATGTAGTTTTATGTACACAGGATCGACCCCAAAATGAAAACAGCGTACACCTTATGCATATGATTTTATCTCTATTTCCAGTTATTTTGCCCGTTAAAGAGCAAATTATTATCCGATTTTGGCAAAAACTACATCCTTAGGCCACTCCAATTTAATTTTCTGGTTTTCGAGGTCACGTGAAAGGTATTTTGTGTAAGATTTGAAACATCCCTCCCTGGTCGACAGGATTCTGAAATTCATTTTTGAAGAGACAAATGTTTTTGCATTGAAAACCGTTAAATACTAAGCCGTAATTGAGAGATAAAACTGTTATTTTGTGGTAATATTGTTGATATAGAGAGATCTATTGATGATATTCAGGGAACTTGTATTAAAGTAGCCAGTGTTTATCATCTTCAGGTTATTTGACAATAAAATAAGAGAAGAATACTCAAGTAATTGGTGAAGTATGATCAAATAGAAAACATTATACCTGATATTATACCATCAACGAACATGGAGAAGAATATATTAACGGGCTCTAAAAAACAGAGAAAACAAATCCTCAAATAAATAAAATACTAAAATATCATATAAATATAAGAAATAACTAAAATTATAAATACTGTCAGCTCATTGTCAAGGTCTAGGAAGCGCCGAAAATGAGGAAAGACAAATTATATTATTTAAAAAGTAAAAAATACAATATATACTGCCTGCAAGATATACATCTAACAAAAGAAGTTGAACCATATGTGCAAAGTGAATGGGGTCATAACTGCATATTTAATTTCCTTAATACACGAGAGGAGTGACTATATTATTAAACGCTAACATAGCTAATAAAACCATTGCCATTATGCATTCAATACAGGAAATTCGATCTTGTTTTGAGGAAAATGAATTAATTTTGATAAATATATAGAAACTTAATACATAATTATCTTCTAGACGATAAACAGTCTAAGGACCCACTAAATACTTTTGTAAAATGGAATCTAGATAATAATAAATAATAATAATGATATTTGTATCGCGCAAATATTCAATCCACTAGGCGCTATATGTTATAATAGCAAACTGGTAAGTAGATTAGAGAAAGATAGTGGACAAATTATTAATTGGAACACAAAAAGAAATTCTAGACGACAAAAGGGGGCTTTAACAAAAACTTTACAAGAAAAGTGATTTGATAAACGGTTGGACGGATTTGAAAGTAAAAATGTTCAAACTCTCTTTTGCCAACCTGCCAAATCAAGAAGCTGGAGAGCTTCCGTGTCCAATAAAAGAGGGTGAAGCGCTCAGATTTTTAAAAATCATAAAAAATAAAAGAAGTCCAGGATCTTCGGGTTTCCAGGCAACCTTCCTTAAAATGTTTTGGACAAATTTAGGGTCCTTTGTTATTCGATCTACAAACAACTACAAAACCTATGTATAATAACGTACATACCCAAACCAAATAAGCCAAACATATTTTAAAAACTCAGGACCATTAAAGCTTTTGAACACTGTACATAGAATAGCTGATATTCGTATAAAATATATGATGTTCTTGAACATACAGAAAAAAAAACAGGGCTTTTGCTAATGATAGATTTTGAAAGGCTTTTGATGGTCTATGTGGGAATTACATAGATACCGCACTTAAAAACTCCATTCAAAATGGGTATTTACCTTTCACAAAAATTTAGAATGAAGAGTTCCAGTAACGGGACATCTCTCGGAAACAATTACACTGGGGGTATGGTGCTTTGTAGATAAGAAGATTCTCTGAGGTGGTGAGGAATATCTATTAACGTAGTAGGCGGGCTACACTTCATTCATGAATGATGGTTCCCCAGTGTTGTCATTAGAGGCAACACTGGGGACTTTAGACTTTTTTGCAGCCAAAGCAGGCCTAGAAATTAATTATTCCAAAGCAAAAATGATTTAGATCGGTAGTAAGTAATATCTAAAAGAAGTATAACACCATACAAGATCGGAATCAAACTTCAATCTATTAGGACTGAACTTTTCAGTAGATATATGCAAAGTGATTAAAAATATCTAATTTATTTCCATAATTCGCTTGCGCGTAGAGGCCTTTAGCAGTGGGAGGAAACCGGAAAACCCACGAAGTTGGACAGGCGACCCTACTCCTTGTCACGTACAACCTGGGATTCGAAACCACGCCAGTTGACACAATGACAGACTTTATACAGCACGCACGTGCTAACCATTCAGCCCCCGCCCCCCACCCCCCATTACAAAAAGAAGAGTAAGCGAATTAATAAATATAGAAATAGTTTTATTGGAAGAAAGTTAAAAATATTACAAACCATTTTTGGAGAGATGTCTTGCAAAACTTGTCATTACTACAGAATAAAATGAAACCAAACAATGCGACAGACTTCAATTGTACGAATGTCTGGTACAATAAAGATAAAACAATAGACAATCAACCAGTTCATACAAGAATTAAAAGATAATAGTAACCAATGTCTTAGTTATCAACAAATTATTAAAATATTTGGCATAAAAACAAACTTTCTGGAACTCGAGTCATTGTTGCAAGCGGTAACAAATTTTTGAGAAAACATTAATATAGAACACAAAAATGTACAACTTTCTGAAATATAAAGCTAATGGTGAAAACGAAATTAATTTTTTTTTTTCATTTAAAATGCATCCTCCAAAATCTCAAAACAAATCTAAACAGAAAGACTTCGACATAACACACAATGATTGGAAAAGATAACCACCTTTTAATTTTTTATTGCTGTTGTAATACAAATTTACAATGTTTTCAGTATAAAATTTTACACAGATTCCTCATTACATACACCTTTACACATAGAATCAAGTTTATAGATTCACCTCAGTGCACTTATTGTTGTAAGGTATCAGAACCACTAGAGCAACTACCTATTGTATGATGTCCAAAAGTACTAACAATTTGGAAATAAATTTTCTCATGGATTATAAAAGGACAGAAAAGGCATTCATATTTGACAAAACCACAAGTTTATTTGGTAGTCTTGATGAATCCATGAGTTATGATATAATATGCAATATGGTTACCTAGGTAATCATAAAATATGATAAAAGAAAAAATCGATATAAAAACATATTACTAATTATAAAGGAGTGGAAATTCGGACAAATATGGAATCTGTAGAATAAATTACTAATAGAATAAAGCTGACTGATAATCTAAATTCTTTTACCACAAAAGGCAGTGGAATGTGGATGTATGATAATATAACCTTTATTTTTCTGTAAAACGAATAATATTTATGTTCACATCTTGTAAGAAGAACGATTCCTAAGCCCCAACCTGTTTTTTTTTTTTTTTTTTTCTGCTAGGAAATAAAGCTGGTAACCATAGTTGAATTAAAATGTAACCCATACTTATCAACTAATTAGTCTTCAAATTCTATCGTTTGTGAAAAGAAAAACTAACGTTCCCAAGGTACACCGATTTCTCCATCCGCTTTAATTGCTTTGCAAGTGTTACTGTACGATGCATTATGTACGATTTGGATAAATAGGTGTCCGTTCTTGCTATACTAGCTCAAAAGTAGATAATTAAAAATAAATACACTGAAAACTTCAGACAAATTTCCTCAT